GTAAAATAAAAATCGGTTGGTTTGAGGATGAAGCCACCTAATTAGTATTTTCAAAGGTATCTAAAATCATGAATTCATAGTTTAACTTTTAAAAAGTGTTTCAATCGTGTACTTGCACTTCAAGAAAAAGTCTCTGTGCAGCGAAAGAATTGAAATCTTTGTGAAACAATTTAGAATGTGTCACTTCTTAAAATCTAAACTTGGCTTACTCAAAATAGAGTGGAAAGAACAGTGTCTAACGTGAACAAATGCCACCTTTCAACAACCAATTACTATCGAGATACCCACACTACGTCACTTGCAGGTATCTCATTATACTATGTGTTGAAAAATCAACTAGATTTGAGATAAACTAAGTTACGCACTGAAGCATTATTACATACATTATTGAAGCATAATTGCTTGATTGTAATAAAATGTAACCATCATGAATTGATTACAATCAACATAAGTTTCGGTGCTGAATAATGCGTATATTTATTCTGATGAGTTTAACGAGATATCGTTGGATAAATATATGAAAAATAAGTTGTTGTTTTCTTTTTGTTTATTCTGCTGAAGTTAGCAACTATATAAATTACATAATTAAACTAACAAATCACTTAAATATGAATAAGTCATGCTTCATAGAAAAAGGTAATCAAAAACTTTAACTTTCGATTGTGAAGGGATGATTCGTGACTGATTGTTGGACATTTATGTGCAGGAAGTTCGGTAAAAATCACCCTTTATATATATTTTTTAGAATCCTTGTCAAAAAATGAAACTAAAAAGGAGTACATATTGGGGTCGTAAATTATTATTTCAATGTAATATTTATTCAAATTATTATTTCTAGAACGCTGTCATACGATTTATAGAAAAGGAAGGTGGCTGTAACAAACAGGTTTGATTGGAAGTTAAAAACTTGAAGGTGCTTCTAATAATTATCTTTCAACTTCTGTCTCTCCTCGCAATGCAACCTGTCTTATTGTTTGATACATGTACTCTCCTATACTGAAAGAATTACCAAATATGTTACTGAAAATTAAGTTTTCAGATTTTTTATTTTTCTATATTAGAACTGCTTAAATTTAAATTACAAAAAAATGTAATATTTCGGCTGTGTTTTAAAGGCTCTAACATTACATGAAATAACACACCCTCCCATAACTGCTGTGAATTTGCAGTTATTCATGACTATTCTCTCGACGCTACTTTTGCAAACGGCGCAGAACTTCAATAATGCCTGTCATATTTGGAACCTTTACAAAAAAATAATTTAGTGAAAATGAAAAGCATTTGTGATATAATTTTTTAAACAGACATTGCAATATCTGGGCTCATAAGAATTTTTCATTGATTTCCATTTAAGTGGAAAACTATCACCAAAATGGCCATTTTCTAAAAAGTTTAAGGATTCAAAGCTCAAGAGCCGTGGTGGCTAAGTGGATAGGGCAACAGCCTCCCAATGAGGTGACCGGGGTTCGAATCCGAGAGATGACTGGTCGATGAGAATTCCGCACACGGCTCGCGCCGATGTAAAATATTCTCATAGAGATTCCCCTTCTCACAGAGCTGTTTGTGGCAGAGATTGAAACACTGAAAATCTTATGAGCAAAAAATCGATATCAATTTACAAATCATACATGTTTAATATGTAACATAACTTTTTGAACTAACATTTATCATTAAATTACGTACTAATGCAGACACCTTTAAAGTAACTTATTCAAGAAAAATATTATTTCTTACAAGAATCGCGATTTTGGATATTAAAATCGCGGAATTCTGCGATATCCGCGTGAAGATCTCATGCCCTGTTTCGAGTTTTTAGACCAGGAAGAATGATGCAAAAAACCCGGAATAGAATCGACCCTGCCTTGCCATCAGGCTAACTGTGGGAGGTTTTCCATTCCATATAATGCTAATGTGGGTTACTTCAGTCAAAAAGCCCTCCATGAAGGGAAATTTCTACCAATATAATAATAATTCATTCACGAGTTTCCTTCTGTTCTGGATTGGGTTCATAGCTACTGAGTAGAATATTGGTAACTCAAAAATGGATCGGCTGTTTAACGACAGTTGTATAAAAAAGGGATTCTTAAAATATTTAACCCTTACCAATTTTTTTTGAAACAAAATGCAAAAAATCAACATTTTTTTTTATTTTATTAATAAATACAAGGAACTAAAAAAGAAACACACACACAAGTTCCAAGTTGAAATTTTAATTCTTTTCTGTGTAAAAAATATATAATTCACTATCCCAAATTATCTCGTTCAAATGAAAAATGTTAAATATTAGTCTTTGTATATGTTCTCATCTTCATAATCATCTGCATTACTTTCACTCGCGAAAGTCTTTTTTTTTTTTTCGTAACTCTTTTTCTATGTAAATTCATCAGCCATCGTATATACAATTGTACTAAACACATCTGCAGTCCCACAAATAGCAAACCTCCCAAACAAATATTGGCAAACTTCCATTCACAGCAGATTATTTTTTGTTTTGCTATCGACCAAATGAATATGCGATAACACAAAACGTATTAAAGAATTCTGCTATGTCCGAGTTTATTCGGGATAATAAATATTTGCAATATATACATACCCGAGTTAACTCGGGACAATCAGGGAAGCGGTTAAGCTAATCTTCGATTCAAAAACCAAAGACTGTGTTAAAAATTATTGGTTGAATGTAAAACAGAAACAAAAGGAACAGAGGTGCGCTTAAGAAATATTGTTATGAAACAAATTTTACTGTTATAAAAATTACATCCAGACAGTTGTTTTCAGTCACTTTCAAAGAATCCTGAATATATTTGTAAATTAAATTAAATATTGTGTTTAAAAGTAGTGACAGAAATTCGCAAAAGAAAACATAAACAAATAAGATAACTTCATATAAAAAATTTTATTATTTGACATATTATTATACATATTTTACAAAGGAAAACTTGGCTGAAATTTTTAAATATTTCAGATCTATTAAGTAACAGTACACTCTCAGTTGACTAGGCTGTTACTGGGAAAACTTTCAGCTAACCAGAATTAGTTAATGAATTCATTATAACAATACAAAAAAAAAGCTGCATTATTTTTTTTTCCTTTTGAAAAAAGTTATTTTCGTTTTTGAGAGTGCATTCAACTTGTTTTAAATTTTTGAAAATTTTACAAAAAAAAACACAAAAATAATAATTGTTTTGCAATAAAGATATCAAAAGTAAACTTGTTTTACTTTGTAAAAATAAAAAAATTCAAACATTTTAGATAGACAGCACAAACAAAGTTTGAAATTAAAATATACACTGACTTTTTTTTACACAAAGTTTTATATATATATAAAACGAGTTTGTTTCATTATTAAAATATTTACAAATGTACAAAGAAAAAAATAAGAATCATAATATAAACTATTCAACTCTCACAGGTTTAATACTAAAAGCAATTCAAGCATATTTCCATACAATAAAATCATAAACTTTATAAAGAAAGAGAAAAAAGTTCCACTATATTTTAAGCAAAAGTTTCCACTATATTTTAAGCTAACTTTTAAGCACTGCAGAGCAGTACAGGACTAACAGTTGAGAATTATTATCAGAAAATATCAAAATTTAAAGACAAATCTCAATATTTTTTCCATCAAACTGATCAAAATTATCTTTAGATAGATAATAATATGCAAATTAAGAATATTTTATTATCGATCTTCTTAAACCTTACTATTAGTCATAATGAAAATTTAAGCAAATACAAAAACTTAATATATTTGACAAACAAGCAAGAATTAACACTCAAGATTGTATCCTCGTCTTGTTTGATGATTATCATCGTAAATAGTTATCAAGATTTTAATGAAATTGTAAAAAATATTGTTGACGATAAATATTATAAAAGATAATGATCATGATGTTATATACTAAATAATAAAAAAAAATTGTAAACATGAGAGTTAAACATTTACTTACCATTATTTCAGTTAAAACACATTTCTCATAATATATTGTAACAAAATATTTGAAAATTGTGTGGTTGTGAGTTTTCAAAAAATATTGATATTTCCTGATAAATATCTTAGCTCTAACATAAAACATTTATTTTATTGGGAATGTTAGGTATTTTTTTGTAATCAATAAATTAAAATAAAATACACAAAGGTAAAAACATAATTCAATTTTATGTTTATTATTATTTTTTATTCTAAATTGAAATTAAATTCATTTTAGATAGTAGTAATTTATTCTTGAATTAATTTTAAAAAATAAAATTTTAAATGAAAAAAAATTTAAATGATGAAATTCAAAGATTATTTAAAGATTAATTATTTATTCACAAGCAAGCAAAAAGCTGAGTAAAAAAGTTATTGTAACCAGTATTTTTTTAAGGAAATATTTTTATTTTAAGGAGACATATATACGTAAAAGAAGAAAAATTAGATGAAATCAGGCCTGATGAAATTTTCAAAACAGGATAGAATTGACAGCTATGAATGAGATTAAATAACAAAACATCAGAATTGAGCAATTGTCATGACAGCACAAATAATCTCAGTATATCTTACTACTCTTTCATAATATTATTTTAAGAAATAAACAAAATAAATATTTAAGACAATTCTATGGTTTTTAAGAGCATCTTCTGTTGACTAGGCAATAAAAATGGAATATTTACAAACTATTTGCTTCCTAATTATTTAAATTGAAATCACAATAAAATTAGAAAACCCTATTCTCTCAAGTTTACAATGAAAAAATAAAAATAATAAAAGAAAAAAAAAACTAAGTTCCCAAAAAACTTTGAATGATTTTGAATATCAGATTTTAAAATTAATTTAAATGACAAATCATTTAAATTAATTTTAAAATCTGATAATCAATTAAGAAAATGTAAAATTAAAATACTCTCTTCAAAAACTAATTTGAATATTTTGCATGTCATTTTTTTATTATTAGCTTATTAACATATTAGCATAAAAATATATTTCCAATTAACAACTCATACTTATGTTTTTTTATTTATAGAGGATATTCTTAAAAACACCTACCAGATTAAAAAAATAAAAAACTTTTGTTTCATAATTAATTTTAGCTACTCTTCCCAATTGAGTAATGCGTATTCATATACTCATAATATAAAAACATATATAGAAAATAGATGCTTTTAATTTTGAAAAATAATCACAGCACATAGTATTAATATTATCTTGATAACAAACCGAAACATTAAGTAAGACAGGAAGTCAATTTCTCCTTCAAATGCATTTATTTAACTTTTAAAAAAAGCAAAATATTTTTTTGAACAAAATTTAACTTCATAACTTATTGCTATTTATAACTGGAAACCTTATTTTATCAACAATGAAACACGGTAGAGCAGAAGCATTTCAAAACTGAAATAAAAATCATTAGAAAGCTCACAAGACAATTATAATAGAAAATTATCACAAATATGCATATTGTAATGAAAGGGGTCTCATGATGAAATGATGAGGCAGTTCGTATCACAGATTTATTATTTGAAATCACATAAGGCACTAGACAGTGTGTTTATAGTTTTGTGTTATAGTGGTGGTCCATTGATTCCGGGATGTAAAAACGTACACTTCATTCCGAAACGACAACCGTTACCTATAAAATGTCTACAAGGAACTTTATGAGCATGATGTCTTGGTCTTGGAACTGCAAAGAAAAAATTACGGCATGAGAAACAGATACAATACAGTAATATAGAAATTATACAGTATACAGTAATTATAGTTAGTCAGTTTTAATGACAGTTAACGATTGCAAGTGAGATAGTTGCTGTCAAAGCTACCAACTTGGATAGGAAAGAATACAGTAGATTTTTCGAAATATAAATTTCATGATAATTTTTGCATTTATGTACTAAATATTTTACACATAGGGAATTTTAAGAGATTTTTACAGTCATCAAAAGAGATTTCTAAATAAAAAAAAGTTTTAGTTTTGAACTGATTTCTATAAATGAAGTTCGCTTCATAATGTATTATCATGAAATTTATTATGTACTTCATTATACTACTATTTACTTCATTGTGTATTATCATGAAATTTATATTAATTATTTAAATATTCAAGCAAGCAATAATCAATTTGTACAAAAATTCTATTACAATAGGTTTTTTTTTAGGAAACTTTCTCAATTTTAGAGAATTTTCTAAAACGTACAAAAACTGGGAGAATTTTAAATAAACCAGTAGAGCAGGTAAAACTGGCAAAAATCCAGTAGTCTACTGGAAAATCCAGTAGAATAGGCAACTATGGAAACAAATACAAATATTGAATGCTAAAATAGCAATTCAAAAGTTTCAAGAGCAACAGCCTTTGAATAGCTTTGAGCCAGTAATTATTCAACAAAGAATAAACAAACCCCTTATTTAATCAAAGAATAAATTATTCTTAAAAGATCAAAATCAAGTGACCTTTCTAAAAAATTTTTAAAATCTAAATTTTTTTATACGTAATAATTCATAATGGTGATTTGCATAATTCAGAATCTGTTCAACATAACATTTATTTTTAATTAGTTTTAGTTATTTATCGCTTATGAAAACACTACAATTAAGTTGCAGAAAAATATTTCAAGAAAGATTTGGAATGAAAATTAAGCACCCCAACCAGAGCACCCCTATAACTTTCTATTCAATCCCCTCTATGATTTTTGGCACATTTGATGTTCTATAGCGCATAATAAGAGTGCCATAAAGCAAGGTGTTGCACTTGGGATGAATTAATATAGTGTGTCTGGAACAGGGCTACAAGTCCAAAATATAAAAATTAAGAACAAAATTGCTTCTAAACCTGAGGACAATTTAAGAATGCTGATTCTCTAATAGGAGCAATTTGTGCAATACCAACATGAATTCGCAGATATAGAACAGGTAACAGTTTTAATGGTTTGTGCATTTAAGTGAAAAAAGAAACATTTTTTAAAAAAACTTCAAATTTTTAAGTTATGTAAGAATTTCCGTTTTAATTTTTTTTTTTTTTTTTTTTTTTTTAAATGGAGAAATTGTCTAAATATAGAAAATCGTTAAGTCGTAGCAAAATACGAGGATTCTCTTAAAAGTATGACAGGCAGGTTTAATACTTAAGGACACTTTCTTTCCCTTTTTTTTTTTTTAAAGAAAATTAAGGAAAACTTTGAGCCCTGCATTCGAGTGAGAAAGCATATCACAGGTTGCATAGACAGATTTTTCAACAAAAAATAAGCACATATAAAGTACTTTTTAACAATTCAAAAAATATTTTAAATCAATTTCAAAAAAAAAAAAAATAATAATCATAATTAGGATTTATGCAGTAACAAATATTTTTTTCTACAGTTTAAAGTTCTTCATTTACAAACATAAAATCAATAAAATTCAAAAACATTTTCAAAAACTTTACATTATCATGATAAAATAACTAATTTCTGATAAATATTGCAGAGAAAATTGTAAAAAAAAGCATGAATTTTTAGTAATTTAGAACGACAATCGATAAGGCAAAGAAAAATCTTTACATACCCATTCCTCTAGATGGGCCTTTTGGAGGAGGTCTATAATTATCTTGAATCATTCTAGGCCTTATTCCTGGACCATGATTCATGTGAGGTTCCATGTTCATTCCAGGTCCATGAGGCATATTATGAGGAGGTTCCTGGTTCATGTTCGGTCCTTGATTCATGTTAGACCGGTGACCTTGATTCATGGGAGGTATTTCATTTGGGTAGTTACCATAAAACGGCTGCTTCCACTCGGGTGGAGGAGGCACGTTTTGAGAGTCAGGAGATAAAGCCATACTATTATTGTTAAACATAATTGGCATTTCATTAGGAGGCATCATCATGTTAGGTGGTATCATACTGTTGGCTGGCATGACTGAGACTGGATCAGCTGTAAATGAGAAGTCAATATAAATAGATTAGTCAAATAATATAAAACTGCTGTTTCAGGAAATCGTACTGAAAAATACTCAAATACAGATATTTAGCTGAAAAGTGAGCAATATAAACTAAGAAAAAGGACTTGCATTAAAAATTAATTTAATAAGAATTTGACTCAGTCTTTCTGTCATGATATGGGGATTTTTAGTATGCTTCCTGTTACTTAAATCAGATTTTTTTTAAAGTTTTTTAATTATAATTTAAATTTTCCATTTATAATTTGTTCAATAAAAACTTAAACCTAATTTCTAGAAAAAGTAACACATACAAGTACAAATAAAAAATTTAAAATGTTTTATGGTATTATTTAATACAATAATAAACCTTTTTGAAAATTGAATAGAAAAGGTATATGACTAATAACAATTAAAAAACAGGCCAAAAAATATAGTTTAAAATTGTTGAGCGTCTTATTTCCAATTTTTAAAATGAAAAAGAAAAGTATTGCCTTATGTATGCCGACATTTATATTGAATAACTTACTCATTGGTAAAATAATGAAAATTTTAAAATAGTGTTGATATTTTGAGGAATTAAATGTATCAAAATATTAATTAATAATACTTTTTGTTTGGTTTTACAAAAATACCAAAATAATATATCTAATAAGTAGAAATTAAGTTTGTTTACAACAATATATTTAACTACTTGGTCTATTACTAAGTTGACTTTAATTATTAACTTTTTTTCCTTCAAAATAAGTCATTGAATTGAAGAATTAAAACAAAAGCACTTTTGAAAAAAACATGTAATACAATTTGAAAAAAAAAAAAAAATTACACATGAGACTTATTTTACCTGGATCATAAGGCTGAGCTAGAGACATTGGAGGATTCATTTGCTTCATTAAATCTGGACTCATTAAAGGTGGACCCATGAGATTCATATCATGAGGAATCTAAAATAAAAAGAAATTAAAACATTAATCACAACAGCCTATAAAACAACTAATAACAACTTAAAAAATAATCATCATTATTTATATTTTATGTATTAAATATTTTTCGTGTGGAAAACTTAATTTTACGATGTTTCTTTCGTTAGGCAAATTTCACATTTAAAAAAGATAATATTGTACTAATATTACCATACAGGGTGCTTAGACAAATTTTTGAACAAAAAATAAGCATCTCATAATCACTTTTCAAGCAATCACAAAATATTTTAAAACTCTTTACGTTTTTAAAAAATATAAGGGGATATTTCCCTATCGTGATCTATTGCGCCAACTACAATAGCCAAAGTGCCAAAAATATTTCAAAGTTCCAATTTTTTTTTAAATAAATAAATAAACAGCTAGATATTTGCCCGAGGTGGGTACGTTTTGAGTTGGTCCTTTTCTACGAAGTTCTTTTTTTCTTTTAAGTATCTCACAGGCCACTGCCTGAAAGTTGCCAAGACTTAGCAATTATTCCGCCAGAGATCACGATACGGTAATCTCCCTAAATATAATTAGGATATGCGCTAATTAAATTTATTTTCTTCATATTATTGAAAGTTCAGATGTACACACATACGAACCTTCAATAGGAAGAATAAAATTTTATTAGTATACATATCTTAATAACATTATTGTAATTGAATGAATTGTGAAAACATTGAATAGAATATGAAAACAACGCTTTTGGCATAATTCAAGACAAAAACCGAGATGATAAAAAAATATCCCATTTTGGAAAAGGGACTACTGATGATTTTTTGCAAATACAATGTTTTGATTTTACAATTTTAAAATATATTTTTAAATTTAAAAACTAATAAACCCTATCACTTTTAAATATTCTATTTTAATGCGCAAACTCTATTATTGTAAGAAAAAAAGTCATTATTACACCAGATTTATAATTCAAATTTAATTGATGGGGAATCAATAAATTCCAAATAAAATCAGCAAAGCAAACATACTTGTTCTGGAACATTATTCGGTAAAGGAAGAAGAGTTCGGTTTGATTGCAGTTTCATCAAAGTACTAATAACATCCGGTAGAGATGGTTTAGGAAGTTCCATATGCGAGTAATCCATTACAGCTCCTATTGCGTTTTCCTAAAATTAAAAAAGATATTTCATAAAAAATATTTACATGGTTCCAACCAAACATATGAAAATATGAAATTATCAAACTTCTTGAAAATTAAATTTGCTACCCCCAAATTTTATATATTTCACAAAGATAAATGAGGAAAACTAATTTGTACATAGTAACATTTTTCAATGACTTTTATTAATGCACCATATTAATAAAATAGATTTATTAAACACAGGGTGTGCAGCCAGATTTTTCAACAAAAAATAAGCACCCTTTAAGCACTCAAATAATATTTTTAATCACTTTCCAATAAATAAATAAATCACAATTAGGATCTGTGTAGTAATAAAAATTATTTTTTTCTATTGCTTAAAGTTCTTAATTTACAAACATAAAATCAATAAAATTTAGAAACATTTTCAGAAACTTTACATAACTTTCTGATAAATATTGCAGAGAAAATTACAAATATCATGCATTTTCGTAATTTAGAATGACATTCGATACGGCAAAGAAAAAAATCTCTTTTTAAAAGATAGAAAATTAACTTTTTACTGACCCCAAATAAAAAAGGCACTTCTAAAGGCTTTTAAAAAAAAATTAAAATCAAAAATAAGCACCTTTAAGCACTTTTTAAATTTCATTTCAGCAAAGAACATTACAAAATTATTAATTAATAGTAATATTAAGACAATTATAGTAATAATAGATAATTATAGTAATAAATAACCGCAAAAGTTACCTCATCAAGTGGAATGACCTTAGGCTCTTGGGGAGGAACAATTTCTAAATCTGGTTCATGTGGAGAGTCTGGGATCCTATAAAAATAAATAAATAAAATTTAATACATAAATAAAATTAAATAAATAAAATAAATGAAATAAAATAAAAATTGTTTCATTAAAATGAAAGAAGAAACACACTAAAGTAAAGACAAAAACACAAAATCTCACAACTCATAAAATGAAACTTCTCATATAAAATAAACTTGCGATAATTTACAATAAAATCACAGACTCAGATCAATACAATTTTTCAGATGAATGCAATTAAATAAGGAATGTAAAACTGTGCTTTTCCCCCGAAATCTAATACATTTAAGTTAATTCCTGTATCTTTAACAATGAATTAGTTTTTTGAACAGCTTTATCATGCAGAAATCAGTATAAATAAATGGTTATAAAATCAACAAGATGATTTAAATTATTATTATTAGTTGATTAATAATCGAAGCTAAAGTTGTATGATGCATTTAACCTAATGCAGTATTTATTTAAACAATTAATAAAAAACGATACAAATGCTGCAAAAAAAAAAAAAATCAAGAATCAGAAAAATTGCCCTCAAGATACAATATCTCATGTATTTAAAAAAAACTGCGTAACGAAAGTATTGTAAAGATAACAAAAATATTTTGAAATAAACCTTTTCTTTAATGTCTGAAAAGACAATGTAGATAAATTTTTGAACACGATAAATAATGAATAGTTAATACAGAAATCAATAATATGACATTTTATTAAAGGTACTGATTGATTGATTGAATGTAGAGTTTTATGGCAAAAGATCCAAAGGAGGATAGGCTGTGCCACTTTATTAAAAGTATAGGAGGAGGGCAAAATAATGGAAACACGACTATGACAATATATTTTTTTCATATTTTCCAAAGAAATACTTAAAGTATCATTTTATAACTTGAGAAGTGTTTAGACTGTACGACTTTTCATACTTATCAATGCAGTTTAAATCTTTTAGAGGTTTGAGGGATCAACAATAAATTACAAACGGAAAATAGCGCTTTTGAACACCCTCGGCCAAAAAATGTAGCAATAAATTTTTAACTTGTAACAATTATTTCGGTTATTATATGTAATAATTGCACACAATTTTATAAACCTGTCTTAAATAGAGATAGATATTTTTTTTATAAAAAAACAAATCTTGTGTCTTACATATTTTTGCTATGACTTACAATAAAATTAAATGAAATTTTTGGAACAATTTGAAATTAATCTCAAAATTATTGCTTTAAAATGCCTAAATGATAATGCTTACATTTCTCTAGTGAAGTATATTTCTTGCAATGTTGCCTGCTGTCTAACTCGTTCAAGTTCCTTTTCTTTACTTTGGGCACCGGGCTCAACAAGGGGTGGCGGAGCATCAATGAGTATTGGGAACATCCACCACTAAAATAATGAAACAAGTAAGTCATGTATCTATATAAAATCTTTTATATATGTATTTTTATAAAAATAAAATATATCATAGTCATTAGGGAGTGAATATATAAATTGCCAATGTTGATTTTCCTCAAACAATTTTGATCTCATTTACTTGGCAAGCATAATTTAAATTTGTAAAAGATTTTTTTTTTTTTTAAAGTATGATAATTATTTAAGAACTACACTCATAATGCTTGCAAATTAAAGAGCAGTAAAAAATTAAAACTATTAAATCTATAAGAACAGAAACAAATTAAAACTATTAAATCTATAAGAGCAGAAACAAATTAAAACTATAAGGTAGAATACTTAATGCAATCATAAAGTTGTGCAGAGGTAATTTGTGATTATTATACAGTGCTTATTTTAGGGGGGGGGGGATATGGGTGAAAATTTATTTTAGGGAAAAATACTATTAATCAAAAGGGAATTTTAGTGATTTAAATAATTTAGCACTAAAATAATAATCACTATTTAGAAAGTAATTTTCACTGCTTAAACAAAATTAGAAAACTAATTTAAAAAAAAAAAATAATGAATCAATTCTCGATTATAAGAAAAGAATCTAAATTATGATAATCCTTAATACTTTGTTGACTGATAGTGCAAAAAATTAATGAAGAAATAGTGGAAAACTATTAACAGCTATTGGAGTAAACTCTCAACAAAAAAAGATGATATATATATAGGTATATATATATATTAAAGAATTAAAATAATGTTAATTAATAATAATTTAATACATTTCATTTATGCTTACATGAATCATCTCTTCCATTCTATCACCAGCTGAGCGTTTCATTAACTCAAGAGCTTCTCTTTCTCTCTTCAATTCAATTGATTTCATATCACCAAAGTTTTGATGCTTTAAGACATTTACTATAACAAAAAATAAATACCAATCGTAAAAAAAAGTGGGGAAAAAAAAAACAAATACAAATAATTTTTTTCCACAATATTTATGACTTATCTGATATTTAAGACTCATATTTATTGATTATTAATTTCAGCAAAGAACTTTATAAAAATATAAATGAATGAATAAAATAGTCTCTTGATAGTCAAGTCAAAATTATTGCATTCACTTTGAGGACGAATTCAATAATGTAATTAACATAATAGACTGCAATTAAAATACTAAACTCATAAACTGAGTAACTGTAATGTGAAAAATTGAAGACTTTGATTTTCTCTAAACAGCCGTGTGCAATAAAAATATTTAATTGATATTATATTCTGATAAAATGATCAAAAACATTGTCCAATTACAAAAATGTTATATGACAGTTTAGTCAAAATCATTGCAGCAACTGAGAAAAATAATCTAATAAATTATAATGAACATTACAGTGGCAGATAAAATGATAAATTCATAATGAACCAAAATTGTATCAAAAACAGTTTAAAGAATGAACAATGCTATTTGCACCTATTATCTTAAAATTAAATAAAAAATGGTCAATAATATTGTCGAAGAAAAAATTGTTTGACGGTCACTAATAAAACATATAATGACTTGAAATTAGCAAGTTTTGTTAACATTAATTATGATAACAAATAATTTACTGAGGACTACATTTTAAGAACTTACTTCTTTCTGTTTCATCCAGTTCAAAGTAAAAAATTTCTTTCAAATTGACATCTTCCACCCATTTGACAGACTTTTTATGGCTTTTTCGACGTCCGTGAGATAATATTGAACGCAAGTGATTAGGATCAAGAGGTTGTTTATCTTCTACACATTCTAAAACATAAAATATCATTAAAAGAAGAAGAAAAAAAACTCAAGTTTAAAAATAATTCTAAAAAAAAAATGAAAGTGTATTTTATTGAAAGTTTAGCATTAACATAGCATTAAAAGTTTATCTAAACTTTGAATGTATTTATAAATTTTTATGGAAACCTAAATATTTTGACAAAAAGTTTTTATAACTAGAATAACCAATTTTCTTCACATTTAAAACAAAATAAAATTATGAGAGATCAATTTGTTTACTTATGATAGAAAATTGTCCAAAAATATTTATTTGCTATAAAAAATATAAAATTTAATATAATTCTTTTACTTATTCAAATTTTTTTTAAAAATCTAGGAATTATTCAATAAACTCTTCATTTAAAATATAAATGCAAAAGAAAATCTTAAAGCCCAAATCTACACAATTAATCTATAAATTTTTTTTAAATAACAGATTTACGTAATTTAGATTTTGTATTCATTATTTATAGCTAAGTTTAAAAAAAATAAAGGTATTGATAACCTATAATTAAAATTCTTTTCATAAATCAACTTCAATCCCAAAAAATAAGTCAATGTAATTGGCCTAAAAAAATAACCTGATTAGAGGTAGTACCGTCTTTATGCATGGGTACCTCTGAGGGCCCAAGGCACTCAGGGGGTTGCTTAAGAATCTTACTTTTTATAACAAAAGGCTAAGAATAAACAACACTACCTAATATATTTTTTTAAATAAATATGTTCGATTGTATAAAGTGCACGTTTTTTTATACAAAAATTACTTAATTTTGATGCTAACACCAATAATTTGAATAGTTTATCACCAAGAAAACTTAACTGAAATCTATTTTCTACATTACAATGAAAATTTCAGGTACTTGGGCATTAAAAGATGTTTTAATAACTGTTTCATATCTTAAAAATGATTTATTTTATGTATGTGAAGTTTTTTTTAGTTTGTTTTTAAACAGGGCGCATAGCCAAATATTTCAACAATAAGCACCTTTTAAGTACTTAAGCACTATATATATTAAGAAAATTCAAAATATTTTTCAAAGACCTTACATGATCATGATAAAATAATTAGCTTCTGACAAAGAACTCTTTTCTTGAACATATTGACCAATATAAAATGATCAAGAGATTTTTCGGTTCGATATCAAAGAGTGGAAAATGATGCCTGAAATTGAGAATATCTTGCAAAATGCAGCAGAGTTACTCATGAGAGTGCAATAATCTCACTGAACCCAGCTCATTAGACACAGATACGGACTAGCAAGTATTTTATCAAACATGTAAAATTATTGGCGCTTTTATACGCTATGGACCGATGGTGTGCCAAAATGGATTGTGGTTTAACTAATTGTTAAATCTTTGAATAAAACAATGTGAAAAGCAAGCTTTTGCATAATACGTGGTGAAAATCGACATGGTAGAGAAAAAAATTCTCATTTTCAAAGAGGGAAAATTAAATACTTTTTAAAAACACCCAATGAAAAAAGCACCTTGAAGGGCTTTTAAAAAACGAAAATAAGCACCTTTAAGAACTTTTTAAAATCGCTAAGCACCAAATTAAACATTATGGCATGTTACAGGGGTCTAAAACATTCTTGTGCATGCTATTAAATGGCCCTGGTTAGAGGAAAAGAAAAGCTGAATGTGATAAATAAAATCCTACCAGCTGAATCCTTTGTTTCATTTGATGCATCAGATGCATTGGAAACCTCATTATTTGGAGGTGTCTTTCCGCCTTCTTCAGTCACTACTTCCATAGGTTCCTCTGAATCTAATGCAACGTCTAGATCAGCATTTTCACTAGATTTCTCCTGGTCATCGGTGGATGCATTTTCCTCACTCTTAGTATCCTCGCTAGTTTCAAGAGTATCTTTATAAAACTAAAGAATTAAAAAATATCATTTTAGTACTTTTTTTTTCAAATATGATAATCAATAAAAAATATTTGTTAAGTTACACACTCCGGAGAAATCAGTTTTAATAAACTTGAACATATTTTTAAAAAAAAACCTTCAGCATCAAATGAAATAATCTTTTTAACTGAATATCTAATATTTTTTTGTTCTAATATTTTGGGCGATATTTTCACAATTGGTTGGGAGAAAACGCACGAATTATTTTCGTTTTCGCATTTTGTAAATCAACATCACATTAAAAAAATATGTAACAGTAACTACAGAAAAAAAAGACTGACAGTGAAATCATGAGAATCAGATTGTTCAAAAAGGGGCTATTCAATTAGTGTTTTCATTTCGAGATTCAGTTGTTGTAATAAATAACATTGTATTAAAAATATCGGATTTTAAAAGCTATGTGAAAATCAATAGTAATATCTGCATAAAAAAAATAGAATGAAAATCTCTACAAAAAAGAAAACGAAATTTTTTACTTCATTATTCTCAAATAAGAATAGAAAAATAAAAAGCATTTCCCCCCCGCTCCGATGCGGGAGAAAGGCATCTTTCAAATATAATTTTGAAGAAAAGATAAAATCTTTAGAAAATTTCCGCAGAAAAGAAAACCAAAACTTTTTACTTCCCAAAGTAAAAACTTTCTGCAAGAACTTGGCAACTTTCTGCGACAATGTCAGACTTCAATTGACATTAATCTTCAGAACTCTTGAAGCAAATATTAAAAATTTTTATAAAATTACTGGATTACTTCTAGGTTATTAATAATCATAAAAATTGTCCAGGAACTTAATATACTTAAATAAGTCCTTTGGAAATCATTATTTCTCAGAAACTAATTAACTTATTATTTCAGATTTAAAAAGAGTTTTGAGATAAACAACTATAACAAAGAATTTTAAAATTTTTGCTCTTTTATGAGTCTTTAAAATGTCTTTTAAGCTTTTTATATATTATGGCAAAAACATAAAATGAAAAAAATATATTTAATCACAAGAAATACATAATATTGAAAGAAGTAATTAATGTTTTGGGTCTTCTTAATTCGAATAATGGAAAATTCTTTAGTATCCTCTTCAACTTCAATTATGTCTTTAATATTTAGAATTTAATTATTTGAAATGAAGAAGAAAAATGTAGCAGTGACTACAGTTACAAGGTTTAGTTACGGTTACGAGGTCCAGCTGTTGAGTCAATATTTTTTGGTTTTGTCTCAGATCGACAAAAGAAAGGAAATTAAGGGTGATAGAAGCTCCCCTGATAGAAAATCACTATTTTCTGTTTCCCTTAGACTTAAAATGAGGGGAGTTCTTTCGAAAGACAAACTATGGTTCTATAAAATTAACAATTTTTAAAACAAAGGTATAATTTTTTTAAAAAAAGTGTTACAAAAAGTTCCTAACCTGTAATTTAGGAGCTGCTAAAGTAGGAGAAGTAGGTGACGTAGCTGCCTTATTTGGTAATGAAGTCTTCTTCCTTTTTTTGATGGGAGCCACAGGTTGAGACGTAAGAGCATCCATAAAACTAGCACTTTCATGAAGAATATAAGCAGCTGTAAAAAAATTATTCCTGGTTAAAATTAAAATAAATTAACACTTTTAATTATATTACTGACAAATAATTGGGTTAGCTAATCCTCGTCTTTTTTGTTAGATTCCTGCGCTTTTGTGCTGTGACTTTACTGGCAGATAACCCAAACATGAGGAATGACTTAAAAAATCCAATAATGATAAAAAGAAAGATAAATATCAAGATTTGCTGGGTTCTGCTAAGGAAACCAGCAATTTTTTTCTTATTGAGATACAAATTTAATTAATTTCGTCAATAGGTGCACTGTTAAAGTTTTGAAATGATTGGTTTCATTTCAAAATTTTGAATAAAGAAAATAATAACTAGCCTACACAATATTGAAATAAATGCATTCATATTTGACGTTTTTGTCTTTTAAGATAGGCCTAAAATATTATTTACCAATTAATTATAAAGTGTCAGTTTTAGTAATTGTAAAAAGTACAGGTAGCAAAAAGAAAAGTCCTAACATAGCTTTTTCTCTCCTAAAGAAATTGAATTTAGTTTATAATGGTTCACACAAAACAAAACTCATACATTTAATTAAACAAAAGACTAATGAGCAACTTTATCAACAAATGGAACACAAAATTAAATTTCTCAACATAGTAACACTAAAATTATTTTTAAATATTATTAAAATAATATTTAAAAGAGCTCTCCTTTAGAGAAAAAAGCATTCTACTTCATTCTTGTTAATCTACATAGAAATAAATATATGGGTGAAATTTTCATATTTATTCAATCACTAGTTAATATTTTTTAATAATTTTTATTACATCATATTCATTGAAATGAGAGCTATTGAACTTTGTTACCGAAATTTAAATTTTAAGGTTGCGATTTTTTTTAATACTTGAACATTAACATGAATTGTAAAACTTAAGAAAATTCAAAAGCAATAATTAGAGAATGAATAAATAATGAAATTTCGGACACGCATGTTAGAAGAAGCAAAATCCTTGCTCTGTGAAGGGGGGGGGGGGAAGAGAAAAATTTTATTGGAAGTTTAAATTTCATCTCATTAAAAGTTTTACTTATCACATAAAAATTTTACTTAACAAAAGTTAAGTAATGCTAGGAACTAAGAGCTTTTTTTTTAATCTAAAAAATAGTTAAATATTTATTAATGAAACATACGCCTTGGCTTAGCAGGGATGAGTTTGATGCCTTTATTTTGTGTGGGGCTTTCATTGATGGTCATTAAACTTTCTGGTTTTATTTTCTTCTCAGTCACTCTTTCAGGTAGAACTGGCGATTTTAGAGCATTTTTAGCAGCAACAACTGTAGATTTATCAACACTAGTAGATTTCTTAGAAATATTTTTAGGCAAAGGTGTTTCCTCTTCCAAACCTAAAAAAGAAATAAAATGAAAATTATATTAGTAATTAAAACATACACTATATTTTCTTAAAAATGCTAGGTTGAAAAGAAAGTTTTCTAAACCATACAAATTCTGTATCTTAACTAGTCACAATTAACAATTTAATTTCATTATTAATTCAAAATAAAAATTAAATCTAAAAAGAAAAAAAAATTCCCAAAAATTTCTTTTGAAAACTTAATTGATTAGAAATAAAACTTTCTTCATATTATGTCATTAAATCATTATTTTAAATACTTATTTTATTAGAACAATAAATGCAACTATTTGAATTTTTCAGTTATAACAATAATTACCTTAATTGCTCAGTAATAACCTTAAAAAATAAAATTGCACAAATACAATAAGATTTCCATTTAATCGTTTGAATTACCCCCCCCCCCCCAAATGTTACAAATAGTTTCTTTTTGTGTTCTTATTGTTTAATGGAATTATAAGTTTAAAAAGTTGAACTTATAAATGATTTAGTGAAACTCGAAATTCCATAATTTCTCCCCACCAAAAAATTTAAGTTTGAAACACCCCTGCATCTGTTACAACTTCAAAAATTACTCAGATTTTTCATGAAAATTGTGGTGAACAAACATTTCAATCTGGCTTTTAATTTTATAACTGAAATTTTATGCCCTGGATAAAAAGTATTGTACCTGTAGCCCTGAATTTCTTCTGGTAAATTTTGGCTGTTTTAGGTCGATCTGGTTTGGCTTTTTTAGGAGGTGGCAGTAAAGGTTCAGGATCAATCTTGACATCTTCATAAAATTCCTCTTTCTTAGTTTCCTTCATAGTTAGTTCCTTTTCACTAGAAGGTCGTTTGGTGCCTTTGACTTTACCAGCACCTTTAGGAGACTCAGCTTTAGCAGCCGGCTTAGGTTCAGTTTTTTCTGGTTCAGGTTTAGATTTTTCTTTCTTTTTCTTCTTTTCAACCACTTTAAAATAAACAAAGGTCTCATTAAACAAAAACAAAACAAATAAAAATATTTTAAATGCAGGGTGCGTAGCCAAATCTTTCAATATATTTAAGCACTACAATATATATTTATTACTATTATTATATATTAAGCACTACATTATATACAAAATATATTTAAGCACTACATGCATTAACAAAATGCAAAATTATTTTCAAAGACTTTACATAATCATGATAAAATAACTATTTTTTGACAAAGAACTCTTTTCTTGATTATATTAGCCATTAAAAATGATCAAGAGATTTTTCAGTTTGATTTTAGAGGGTGCAAAATGAAGCTTGAAATTGAGAATATCTTGCAAAATGCAGCAGAGTTGCACATGAGAGTGAGATAATCTCACCGAACCCAGTTCACTATACGCACATGCGGATTAGCAAGTATTTCATCAAACCTGTAAAAGGCGTTTTCATAGGCTATGGACCGACGGTAAGCTAAAATAGATTGTGGTTGAATGAATTGTGAGAGCGTGAATAGAAAAATGTCAAAAGCATGCTTTTGTATAATACGAGATGAAAATTGACATGGTAAAGAAAAGAAATCTCATTTACGAAAAGGGAAAATTAAGCACTTTTTAAAAACACTCAATGAAAAAAGAACCTTTAAGGGATTTTTAAAAATGCTACGCACCATGTGAATGATATTTTGATTAAAAATAATTAATAAATACCAGGAATGACTTCAGTAGCTTTCTTCTCTTTTATAATTGACATCCATTTAGTTACAAGCTCAGTTGAGAGATTTTTTACTTCTAAAAAAAAGTAAAAATTAATTTTCATTATTCATGGAAAGTTCTTATTTGATAAATCATGCACAGATATATGGAAAGCAAATATAAAGATGTTGAACAGAAATTTTTAAAATTTTTTTAAACCTGATGGTGTATTTGAAAATCCACTTTAATAGCGTGAAATGAAACTCAAAATACGTAAAGAAATAAGCGAAAATAAGACATAATATTATGGACTTCATAAATATTCCATTGAAAACAAGATTTGCTTATCAATTATAATCATAAAAAAAGGCAAGTAGCAGAAGATGAAAGTCAAGAACAAATTTTTCTTTCCTTTATAAGTAAAAATAAATTTAAAAATTAAGGTCTGTTTACAAACTAACTACACACTATTATTTGAAAACTAACTACTAACGCCTGTTTACAAACTAACTGTTTATGTACCATGAAAAAAATTCCTGAAGCAAGTGTAATGTACTTAAGAAAAAGTTTAAAAAAAAAACAAGTAACAATAGAATCGTATAAATCACCTTCATTTTCATGCTTTGTCAAAGCTTTGACTAATTTAGCAGTGTTGTTTTCTTTCAATCTTTCCAAGGTCATGGGAAGTTGCTTGCAAAGTTTAAGCATTTCCAGCAAGAAATTATGGGATAGAGATGTTTTTGCATATTGAAGCCATAGGTTAATAGTTTCCCAGCCACCTTTGTCTAAATATCTGTAAAAATAATCACAAATTTTATTAATTCAGAAAAATTTCAATAAATATCTTGGAAATGTTAAAATTAAATATATGTATTTATAGAAAAATAAATTAAAAGCAACAGATATAAATGGTCAATACAAAACATTTAAATTTGGATACGTTTTAAATCAAATTGTAGTTTTGACTGTAAGCTATGCACTTTTCAAGAATTTAAATAATAAATCTTTAAATTTTATTTTATTATTTAACATTATATCTCAATTAATAAATATCATTGAAATGTTAACATTAAATATATGTATTTACTAAAAAGTAAATTAAAAGCAGCACTTAACATTAAAATTTAGATACATTTTAAATCAAATTGTAGATTTGACTGTAACTTATGTACTTGCACAGTCAAATAATAAATGTATATTTTATTACTTAATACTATACATTGAATTATATATTCAACATAATTTTAAAGAGAGCTACTTAGTTTTCTTATAGAAAAATTTACAAAATTTAAAAAAAATCATCACTAATTAAAAAACAATTTTAAATGAAATAATGCAAGTCTTCTAATAAAATATTAACTCAGATGATTATAATTAAACTGTATTAGTGGTTTTGTATCTATAGTTCTTGCATTATGTATGCATACAATTGTTACTTAAAAATAAATATTTGATTCAAACAATAAAATGTTCAACAGTGCCACTTAAATTATTAAAATTTAAGCATAAAACATTTGTTTATAGGAACAATCATCTTTAGGTGTATTTCTATCACTATTTTTTTTAAAAGAATATGTAATATTTAAGAGTGAATGCTACTTTCAAGGGCTTAAATTAGTCAAACAAGTGTATAAAACAAGAACATGTTACAGTATGAAAGACTACTAATGCAATTCTTCAAAAAAATTTAATCATATCACATTTTTATTTAGATTACTATAAGAATTTCATAACCACTAGAAAAAAGTTTCCAAGTCAGTAACAAAACAATGTAATTAATCTCAATATACACACACAAAATCAACAGATGACCATCAACCTAAACAGAAGGGATTTGACCATAATAAAAACTAGTTAAGAATATGATTCCATAATATACTCATTATAAGTCCCATATAGGATATTTAAATTTAATAGGGAATCCTAACATAGAAAAATAATTTTTTTAAAATTATTATCCTAATTTGAGCACTAGAATGCCCATATAGAACAGAAAAGATTAATTTTCCTTCAATATTATAAGGTGTAAAAAAAAAATTTTTTTTTACAAATGTTAAAAATTGAATTATTTCCTTAACTTCATAAAAATTTACCCTTTATTCAATAAAAAAATAAAGGCAAATTTCTAGTGTTATATTCTTTTTATAAAATAATGAGTAGAAAATTAAAATGAGAGATACTGTAAAAATAATTTTTAATTATCTAATTGTTTTACTACTTAACATTTCAAGTTGTTTTAAAACAGAATAAGTTTTGTTACAATTAGGACATTTCTACCAGGCTTGCACATCTATCTTAACAACATGGATTCTAGGATAGCTTAAAACCAACAAATCTAGTACCAAATTAAATTTCACTTATGTAGCACTTTTAAACCATGAGCTATGCCCAAGTGAGCCATGTGTTAAAACAGTAATGCATTATGGTCAACATGATTGAAAAGTGTTGTAATTGTTGTGTTTCAGATTCAAATAAAGACTCAAGTAAAGAAAAAAATATTTATTGAATAACACATGAACAATTACAAAACAATTAATAACCTATTTCATAAAACTTACTCTGATAAAATATCTGGTTCTGTTGCTTGAAGCACATTGCAATAAACACAGCGACTGACAAGCTTCTTAGAGAATTTTTTCATTAAACTAGAAAAGAATGAGAAACAATAGATAAGTAACAAAAAATAATTATTATTGTGCAACGATAGACATTACATATTTTCTAGCTTTTAAAATTTCTTAAACTTATATTTTTTAATCATTCTTTATCGAATTTTAATTAAATTAAACTAATTATTTAACTTTCATTGCATTTTATAAAAATCGCCTATAAAATATTTTAATCTTTTCTGAACAATCAATGTAACGGCTAACTTTTTATTTCAATACTAATGAAAGACTAATTAATTCTCTGTCGCGACTAAATCGGAAACAAGATCTATTTATAACTCTTTATTTTTTATTTCTTACCACAAAAATGTTTCAGTAACAAGGTTATACTAATTCTCCCAGTCTTGTTGGAGATTCGCTTTCGCCAAATTATTTTTAAGTTTAATATTGACTATGGGGGTTGGCTTTATTTTCGGCTATGTTATCTTTCGATAAATTGCCAACCATGGATCTCTTTCTATGCTAGCTGTCCGTTGGGAACAATTCATTTACTTACAAAACCTTCGGGTTTCTTCATCCTTTTAAGGGACTTCTTTATCTTCATAATTTTTGAATGTGACCATATTCTGTTTAATATTTACTTAATAATCAATTTTTCCTAAACAATTCATTTTTTTCAGGATAAATATCCCTTCATATCCAAATTAAGATGTATCAAAAACGGCCAAAAATATGCTTAATACTACAATGATGTTACCTCAACGAACTATTAAATTGGACTGATCACCCCAATCATAATTATATTTCGAATAATCACAATCTTTTAAATAATTCAGTTACACAAGAAAAATAATATTAAGATAGGAATGTTGAGATCTACATCTTTTTAATTATTCTAAAGCTGAGAAAGAAAAAATGTATTAGTCATTTCTGAAAAAATAATTATGGAGTTAAGCATATGAAAAAAGAAATTTGAACACATAAAAGGTAATTACAGCTTTTTTTCACTATTAAAATCAGAGGTGCTAGATTAGGGCTGCACAACCTTTCTATCAAAAAAATATATTTAAAAAAAAACTACATTAATTGCATAAGAACAAAATATAATTCTTAAAAAATTGATCACAATTCTAAAATGCAGAGGTACAATTATGAGTTTCAAAAGAAATTTGAAGATATTTTTGAATCAAAAAATAAGTAAATTACTTTGCCGTCCTTTTTTCAAAAAAGATTGCGCACCCTCATTCTAGATAACTTAATACTGATACAAAAAAAATAATAAAAATTTTAACATAAAGCAAATATATATCACAATACGACAATAAAGCAAAATACACATCATTAACACAGAAGAACAAAGTGAATTATTTCTTGGTAATAAACAGTACGATAAACGACACCCAGTTTGTAGCCTTCATCTCTTCAAGGTTGCAGGCACAATTTATTCTTGGAATTTTCACCCGTTCATTACTTCCAGTTCACTTTCTTTTTCTCCCATCAAACACGTATGGCACGACAATCGATTGGGAAAAAAAAATCGTAATACACATAATGAGTTAAGAGCAGAGAAATACTAAATCAAAAATTTGACTTCGCTAAATTAAATTTTAAAAAAATAAATTAATGCTCCCAATTTTTACTTAACTGAATTATAGCGTAAATTAATAACTTTTAATAAAAAGTTTAAATATATTCATTGTTTAATTTAATGCATTTGCTAATAACGTTTGAAGTCCTTTCTCGTAACATTGTCTTTAAAACATTTATAAAAAACGATCGAGGAGAAAATGACGTCAATATTTCTACATCATTTGAAGTACAAAACAAGAGGGGGGGGGTGGAATAAGTTACCTCGCACTCTTAACAGTTTTTCTTTCTTCCATAAATTCCAAGTATGAGAAAACCTGATTTTTTGTGAAAAAATCCGATCCAGCAATAATATATACATGGAATATAATTTAAACATTCCTTCGTTTAAACTTGACAGTCCGTAGAGATACAAGGGGGTCGTGGAGATAGTGGATATGTTAATCGTAGTGCGCACAAAAAGCATGTTCTTCTCAGCCAAGGTGGAAGATATCAATCAGTATTTAGGCGAGCTTCAAGCCGCGACCGAGAATCGAACCCTAGTCCTTCACATAAACGGTTAAGTGATATTCATGGATTTAGTTCTTGAATAAATTCTTTGTATATTTTGTGAAGAATATAATAAATGCTCCATATATTTAATTCGAATTATTTAATTTCAATTTCTGGAGAAAAGTTGTATTTATGTAGGATCCTAATAATCTGCAAAAACACAGATCAGTAATTGAGTTAATACAATCATTTAAACATATAGTATAAAATTAGTTTCATTATTGCAAAGACATTCCTAATCAAGAGCTTAAGGATTAAGAAACTCACTAGAGGTTGGCAATTTTAGAAAGGGGAATTTCTCAATTATCTGTCTGTCCAAGGTTACTTAGTATGAAATGTATATTAAGAAATAGTCAATGAAAAAGAAAATAAAAATTTTAATTTTCGGGTGTTAAAAATTGCATTAATAGGTTAAGTTTTCGTATGAATTAAACAAATAAAAAAAATTAAATGCTAATGTCGCAACTACGTCAGCTGCCAGCTCCTATGTAAGATTTATAAACTCGAAGCAAATAATTATCCTTAACAGATTGCAGCTTTGTGAATCACTTCCCATGGATTCATAATCAAACGGATAAATTTGGGACAGGACCCGATCAAGGTCGGGGGGGGGGGGTTCAGCCCCAGATTGTTGAAAGGACATGTTAGGGGTCAACATAAAATGGTATCTATAGAAGGAAGAAGCAAGGGGGGGAAATTACGAAAAACTAACTAGCATTTTATGATAAAAATCTGATAATTTCATACTTTAGAATATTTTTATTGTCTCTAAGAAAAATTTTGTTAATGAAAGAGAAAGGATTAAAAGAGAAGAAAATAGTAAGAGACGCATTATAATGATCAATCAATACTCGTCTAAACGGGAAAGATTGCAGTCACCTTCTCTAAAATAAGTTATTTGCATTTTATCAGTTTTTGGATAGATGAATCGGGGGTTTCATGATATTGTTACATCATTTGCTTAGAATTATTTTTCTACTTAGATATTAATTGCCTTTTTGAAAAAATTTCTAGAAGAACGCTTAGAAAAACTTAATTTTATTGCTGTGAAAAATTGGGATTTGAATTGTTCTGGCGCTGAACAACGAAAGAATGCCGAAGTTCAGTAGAGAGGGGGGAAACGCTTAAAATATTTTTTTTTAAATGTAAGTTAAAACATATTTTCGGATGCGACTAAAAATTTTGAAATGGCTGTCTTCATATTCAGCTGAGAAATTCTTTATATTAAGATTCATGTATTGATATTTAGAATATTTTTACAATATAGTGTAATTAAATTTGCTAAAAACTGTTTCAAAGAATTCCTTTAGAACAAAGGATTAATAATTTGCCATTGTTTTATGAAAATAGAGCGAGGAGTAACAAAATCTTTATCTTTGGAGGGATTCAAACACGCTAAAACTTTTTTTTTTTTGTTATGAAAATCATTTTGAATAAACTTTACGAAGAGATCAATTTAAATTTTTCAAACAGCATACCTGCCAACTTCTAATCCCTTCCATTATCATTTTTCCCAGTGGTATTAAAATGGAATTAAAACTTCAATTTTAAGCAAACAAATACGTTGTATTTGAGAAAACTTAAGTTGACAACAATGATAGTAACGCATATTAATATCTGTGCTTAATTTTTGTAAGAATAGTGGTGATCAATATCATTTAAAAATTAAGATTATAAAAGAAAAAATAGTATATAATTACTACCACTTTAAATATGAAATCTTCCGGAAGAGTTGGCAGGTATGAAACAGCCTATCTTCATTATACAAGATTTAATTTCATTTTATGAAAGCTCTTTCTTTCATAACAAAATTTTAAACCATTAAAACGAGTAGAACAGATGGTCCTTCTGTTAAATATATTTTAGAATTGTAAATTAAGTCTTGAACGAAATTAGGCGAAAAAAGCGGAATTTCTCGGAGCGTTTTAATTTTATCTATTACTCCCTAATTAGAGAGTAAAAGAAAATCATTAAAATATGCCTTCGGTAAATAAAGAGTAATAAAAACTGTTCTCGTCATTGCCATAAAAAATAAGCGTTTTTTTAAGATTTCAAAAATTAAATTTCTGAGTAAATTTCTATAAATAAGGTTATATGTATTGGTAATACTTATTCAAATATTCTAGCAATAATCTGTACAAAAGTTCTATTTCAATAGGGATTTTTTATTAAACTTTCCCAATTTTAGAGAATTTACTAAAATGTACAAAATCCCAGAGAATTTTAATTAAACCAGTAGAGTTGGCAACTATGTACTAATATATTCTAATGAATGAGTTTCGATTGGGAAACGGCGACTTGAAACACTCACAGGTTCCGATCGATGTGTACCAATTGGTCTGAGAAGTAAAGGCTGTCTGTGCGCAATGCTGACCACATTGTCACTATCATTGCGGAGTCCTAACTTCTTGGCACACAAGGGTGGTTGTGGATATGCTTTACATTTATTCCAGTCAATAAATTATGAATCATTTGACATATTTATAAAAATAAAGAAATTAGGTAATTCGCCTCTAAGACAAAGATATAATTCTTCACTATCATATGAATTAAATAACAATTGATTCCGTAATCGGTAAATCTCGTAGAATGCAAAGGGTAGAAAATACGAGAATCATACTTCAAAAAAAAAAAAGGATGCAGAAAAGAGATAGTAAAGTGACTTAACGCCTTATTTTTTTCCAATTACGGATATTAATTCAAAAAATAAAAAATGCGGGCGCTCCTTATATAGTCACTAGGAGACCCCGCTTCCTTCCGTTTCTTTTCTCTTTAGTTTTATCTAATACTCCAATTTTTATGACTTTTTTCACATTTTACTTTAATTACATTAAAGGTTACGCCCTCTGTTACTTATTGCTTCCCAATCCTCGGAGCATTACTATTTAATCACTCCA